ACCCATAAGTTTAAAAACCAAGATTAAATTCCGTCCTTTTGGAATGACCCTTCAAATATCAAATCAATTGTATCAGATTAGTTCTCAACCATTGATAAAAAATGGACGATTGGGATAATGTTTAAAGAAGCACAACTCGAGTAAGGGTCTAGCATCCAATTGGGGGCTGCCACTTGGGCCTTCCACGTCCAATTGACATTTTTGTCCTTACTAAAGTGTTGTTTTGAGAAACACATTTTTACAAGTGGGATGAATATGTAAAAAGTTAGTCTCCAATACATTATATGTATTGCTATTTAGAGTCCTTTTTCTTAAAATAAAAATGAAGTCATGTTTGGCTCTAGATATATTACTAAGTCAATTCGTCTATCAAAGCTTTTGAATCTATAAGGAGCTCTAGACACTCTCTATATATATTTTTATCCATGTAACCTTGATGGAATCTCTGTCAACTTGTAGGAGAGAGAATTTTTTAGACATTGTTTATTTTTACTTATGAAACATAGTTTTTTAAATGATCTACGATTACACTGGAGATATTTTTACTTTACATTTTTCAATATGTATTTAATTTATTTAACTATTTAGCTACTATCAACATACATGTACAATTGATAAATTCATTTGACATGTGAGCTTTCATTAATGTATGAATTTCGTATTATTAATTATCGATTAATTAACATTCAAATTCATTTAATTAATATTTATCTTCATTTATGTATTTGAGTGTTATTAATTCTAATTATAAGTTAATTTGAATTTTTCACATACAACAGTGCATTTCATTAATTACGTTCATCTGTTCAAATTAACATCCAGTTTTACTTAATTAGAAATTAAGAATATGATTTAACATTCATTGTCATGTATATATATTTCCTAGTATTAATTTTAAATTAATTAACATTCATGCATATTTAAATATTATTTTTAAACACTTATAAATTCAACGTTGACTAGTTGATAGAAATGAGTGGTGTATAATAGTGGGGGACCTGCAAATATGGTTAAAATTAATGTATAACGTTAATATGTAAATTAACAATCATATCCAATTTATGTTTTAAAATTTGGCCATTTAAAATAGCGAGATTTTTTCCCCCGAATTTTGATATATTTTTAAATGCCATTTATAACCACTAAGTTACCTTACTTAAAAACACACTTATTCCCTTAAAAAATAATTCTTTTTTCTCAACATTCTCCATGGACATTTTATTGAAACACAAATGAACAGAGCTGATAAAGATTGAACGCTATAAATTGTATGATATTTATTTTTAACTTTTTGCCTGATGTGGTGTGATATGACTTTTAAAATGTTGCGGAAGAACTTTAAAAATATGGAAAACATTATCAGTAAGGTCAAAATTCCATGAGAGACTTGTAACAAAGTTCTTTGTAATGTTTCAAACAAGGTTAAGAAGCAACATTCCAAGATAATTTAGTTGCATGTGAGCATGGGATATCCAGAAGGTTGGATTGAAAACTTTACTAGAACATTTATTACAAGTGTCAAGATAAAGTATTAGTAATTCAAATTGTATAATCAAACAATCTTCATCGTCCATTTATATGAGGTGAAAATATAAAAAGGTAGTGAGCGAGCAAAATAACTGGCAAGTTAGAGTAAGTTTGAAAGTCGCAATCACCTGACATTATGTACGGTATCATTTAGAAGGCAGACAACCCTTATTTGAAGTGTTTAGATTTCGAGAAAGGACACGTAGTGCTCTCATAAGTTCACTCAAGAATGTGCATAAATCATCAAAGGGGAACAAGGTTGTCATTTAAGCTTTTGAGAGAACTATTGTCCACTATGAAATCGAAAGCGAAAGAGCTAGTTCGAAAATGTGACATCCGTCGAATGTCATGGGTTGTAAATAATCCCTAGAACACTTAATAAAAATTATTTACCTAGATAAAATTTCGAGGTCCATAATTTTTTTATTTTTTATTTTTTGAATTAACATTTTAGTCCACGAACTTATTGTAGTCTAAGTATCAAAACTTTGAAATAAAGTAACCCATTTGATATGGAGGAGGATTGGCAAATCGACTCAACAAATTTTACAAAATTTGGATTATTGTTTTCATTTCTTATTACTCGATAATTTTCACAATTACAAATATGTCCATGAATTCTTCCACCAAATAATGTCTCCTCGTTCAAATTATTGGTTGGGAAACTATCAAAAATGACACTTTTTTGAAAATTGCTATAAAACTTTTGATGTGCACTAAATTTTATCCAAAATGTCACTTTTTTGGTGGAAAATGTCCAAATTACCCTTAATCTCCCATTTTTAGGAGCATTAAATGCTCATTAATGGTTCAATTGTAATGATTTCATTATTTAATTTGTATATTATAATGATTAGTAAATGTATATTCTATTGTATAATATGAATTGATTAAAAAAAAAGAAGAGAAAAGACGTAAAAAAAAATTTAAAAGAAGTAAAAAAAGATAAAAGAGGCAAAACAATCCTAGTACACATCAAATACATCCCTTCTTGAAAAAACCCTCCATTTTCTTTCATCTTCTTTTTTCCTTCATCAAAAATATATTGCTATTCAATTCATCATCCATTTGGAGAGATTAATTATTACAAATTATTTATATTTTTATGTAATAGCTTATTATTTTTCACATAGTAAAAGCAACATGATCATCAAACTGAAGAAAGCATTTTAAAACGACTATTAATGATGATGGTATTGTTTTTTCTTTTTCAAATCATTTTAAAGGGAAAATATACCAAAAATATTTAGGCAAATGTCAACTATTCCATATTTAATGAAGCAGTCATTTTTTATGGAGATCTGTAAAGCAATGGAATAATTATTGTAGTTGAGAATTGATTATAACCATTAATATTTCGGAGAAAGTAACAAACAAACAGGCCTTAAACTTCGAATCGTACGAGCGCTTGAACAAGGGCTTCAACTAGAGGCATAGATGGATCTTTCTTTGGCCCGAGCCCCTCTTTCCGTTATATAGAAGGACAACATCGGTACAAGAAGGCGGACATTGATAGCTGCGAAGTAGGGTTGCTCCCATTACTACAGTTATTGCCTGGAAGACCCTTCCCCTTAGAAATAAGGAAGTAGGCATGCCGGGTTGAAGAAGGTGGCTCCTTTGTTCAATCTCTTGAGGTCGAAGAAAGGATTGACGGCCTGTTGATCAAGGAAAGCCAAAATGAAGTCTTGCTTCTCTAGCTTGGGTTGTCTTCCCGGATCCCTGCTTCTGCTTTTGGTTGTGGATCTGCGAAGAGGCAACCAATGGGTTACTTCATTCTTCCTACAGGCTACAAGAAGGCGGCTATTGTTCATATGGTGGATACGAGGGGGTAAAGGGCCGTACCACTTCTATCTTAAGAGCTTGCCCGTTCCCGCCATGAAGGCACTGAATGGAGTAAGGGATCGGTTCCTTTCCTGTAGCTTACCCCCTTGGGGGCTAGGGGGGAGAACTACCGCTTGTAGCTACTGAGCTCCTACCCGACTATTCCTGTTAAGGAATAGAGTCAGGGTCGTTCCTTTCCTCTCCTCCCGAGCCTCAATTCAATCATATTGAATTGAGTAAGGCTCGTACCTATATATATATATATATATATATACTCGACATTTATAAACTATCGAGATCGATAGATAAACTGTCGGGATAGAATTTTAAACTGTTAAAATTGACAGTTGAAAACTGTTGACACCCTGCATTTCACATTCTCTTATTGCATCGGTTTAAATATTCGAAAGTGCCCCTTCGATGCTATTACATATCGACATATTAACTGTTCATAATTCTTATCGTTGTAATCCCTTTATTTTAGGTATGATCACCCATTTGAGATTCATCCTATCGCATGGGGGGAGGTTTATTCACGCGGATGACGAATGGAAGTGGACAGGGACAAAACCACATCCATTTTAGTGCCGAGAAATATTACCCTAGCCGGACTTCTGTTACGGTTGAATGACAAACTTGGCATTATCGATCCGCACACCGAAATGGAATTGAAATTCAAAGTCCCGAACATGAATATACCGCCAGCTGAAATACGTGAAGATGAAGACCTCATGTGGTACATATCTGTTCATACGGAAACTGCTCTGTGCGTTACTATTGTGGAGACAAATATGTGAACTGTTGACATGGGTAGGAATACGAATTTGCGCGACCATTTGTTTGCCGCAACGGATGTTCACCAGAACTTAGAACACGATGACATGAATCATGAGCCTAGTTCCCCAGTGAATAATGCAGTCGAAACGGGGACTTTTGATGATGGGGCTACACCTGTAGACGATATGTTGGACGACCCATTCAATGGTACAGATGCTACTAGTATTGCAGACGTTGATGCTCGAATGTCATCACAACATATTCGTTCGAGTACAGACCAATGGATTACAGCTGTGGATACATCCGATCTTGTTGAACGGCAAATATTCTTGAGCAAGAAAGAGTTGTACTCGAAAATTCGTGTACTTGCTTTGCAAGACAAGTTTGAATTTCATGTAAGCAGGTCAAGCCGCAAAATGTTAACCGTTGCATGTGTAGACCATAATTGCAAGTGGATATTACTTGCTTCGAGTGTGAAACAGACTTCTATATTCATGATCCGAAAATTCAACCATGTGCACACATGTTCGGTAGATATCCGTCGTAATGCACATCGACATGCCACTACTTCTGTAATTGTCTAGCACATTTTGGAAAAATTGGATAATCCATACCGGTTGTACGATCTTACCACTATTGCATGTGACATAGAACGCGAGTTTGGTATCAAAATAAGTTGCCAAAAAGCACATAGGGCGAAAGTTGCCGCTTTACATATGCTACATGGTACACCTGGGGATAGTTTTCAAAAATTATCTTCCTATTGTCACGTTCTAGGAGAGCGTAACCCAGGGACAGTAACCCACATCGAAGTTGATTCCCATAATAGGTTTCACTACTTCTTCCTAGCTTTCGGTGCAAGCGTTCGTGGCTACATGCGCTACTTGAGGCCGGTTATTTGTGTTGACGGTAGTCATTTGAAAGGTCCATACAAAGGTACACTTTTGATGGCAACCGGTCAAGATGCCAACAAACAGATATATCCCTTGGCATGGGAGATCATTGATGCTGAAACAAATAGATCGTGGATGTGGTTTATGTCCAACTTGAAAGAGCTTATAGGCGACTCTGCTGAATTGGTTTTTATTTTCGACCGGAAGAATAGCATTTCCAATGCCATTGCTCACCTATTTCCTCAGTCCCGTCATGGGTGCTGTATCCGGCATCTAGAAAAGAACTTAGTCCAGCGGTACAATAACGCAAGTGTAATATTTCTATTCAAACGAGCTGAACGAACTTCTCAGGTCGAAGAGTTTGAAAGACTTATGGGACAGATCCGTAGGGTAAGTGCAAGAGCGTACGGGTACTTAGAGCGTGCAGGTTTCTCGTTTTGGTCACAAGCACTGTTTGTTGGTCAAAGGTACAACATATTGACAAATAACAATGCCGAATCTTTGAACTCAATGTTGAGACATGCCCGTTCATTACCGATCACGTGCTTGATCGAACACATTCGACAAACTATGCAAAAGTGGTTTCACGAAAGTCGAACCAGTGCAACCACATGTATTGGCATGCTGTCGTTGAGGATGGAGAACGAGTTACGGACAACATTTGAAGCAGGTACAAGGCTTCGAGCTCATGGCTTGACAGAACAGTTAACACAGGTTGGAATATCTAATGACACGGATATCGTCGACTTCTCTGATAACAGCTGCACTTGTCGTGAGTTTCAAATTAATCGTATGTCATGCCTTCATGCCACTCGAGCTGCGTACTTGCGAGGTATGTCATTGTACGACTTATGCTCACCGTATTACACATCGGAATACTGGAGAGGTGCCTATAGCGAAGCTATATATCCCGTTATGCGTGAAGTGGACTGGATAATCCCATACGAAATTACAGGTACTCCTATTAGGCCACCCAATGTACGTCGTCCTCCAGGTAGACCACCCACAAGACGTCAGCGATCCAGGTTCAAGTCCGTCACACGACTCAGGAAATGCACTCGCTACGGTGGACTAGGTCATAATCGGAGCACATGTTCCAACCCCATTGTACCACGAACCGTTTAAATATGCGTTTGTAATAAATTGGCTTTTATTCGAAAGTGGTTGAAGTTGTATGTAAACTAGCACCCCTATGTCGTTTGTAATGAAAGAATGTAAATGTTCTCATTTTGTTATCATTGTCGTTTGTTTGCTGACATTAGTGTTTCGTATGATCCCAACTAGTTAGAAGACATTGTAGTTGATATCCCTTCAGAACATCTCGACAGTTAAAGTGTCAATCCCGACAGTTGGTTATAGAGTATATAATATGACTTGTCCGAAATATTTATGCCTGCATGACTACAATGTTACCCATTCAACTCTCTACTTACACAGATATTTTGAATCATAACATTTCTTTTACATTTCATTATCGTTTCTTAACAGCAGACATCGTCTTCTAATTTAGCAACAAACAAAAAGGTATGTTTCAAGGATAATTTAGGGCTGACCTGATTAGTACTTTTTCCATACGGACTTATTCATAAGACACCACGTACATATAGACACCTAACTCCACCTACAAGGAATTTTAAAAATAACTTATTTTTCGATGCTTCCAAGTACATGTGTTAAGCCCGAACCAAGTAATCCCGACCAACCTACGTTGTCAATACAGTGAACTTATTCATTCGAGGGTACGTCAATTTTCAATAAACAAGGAATCCATACAGGGGAAAACAAGTTTCATACGTACACAAATGAACCTATGCTCTTACATCCCGACAGTTAATCTGTCATTCCCGACAGTCTACATGCCGTTCCCGATAGATTGTTTCTGTCCTTGTTCATAGTAGGTCCAATATCAAAATCTACCAAAATATGAAGAAAACAGTACGTAGACAATGGAGGTGCTCATGGTCACCATTGTCGAACTATGTTACCAAATCTATCCCTACGAACTATACATTATTTCATATGCACCACATACCCATACTAGCCACTTCATTGATTGTCCACACTCGAACCATCTTGTTCAGAGTCATCGGAGCTAATCACAATGATCTCGGGAGATGGAACATGAGCCAACCACGCGTTATCGTCAGACTCAACTTCCACCGGAACCATCAGTGGGACGACCCAATCAAGCACGATCTTCGGACTCTGGGAAGCCTGACTTGCAACATCGTCGAGGTTCAGAAAATGAACAACGGATGTGGCTCTCGTACCACGTTCAAAACTCACTTCGTCATCGTCCGAAGCAATGACGATGGGACATAGTGGGGACGAACCGGGTGTTGGTAGCAGCTCCTCATGCTTGAATGATTCATTGCTTCCTGTCGATGATGCCATTGTTTTGATATGAAAATATTTACTGATCCTGTTAAGGAGTAAACGTAGAGACTGCAACATGAATTTTCAAGTGTAAATATTTCAGGCGTCAATGATAATGTGGACTTACCATGCTATAAATAGTAGATTTTTTGGAGAGATGCATTGAAGCTCATTTAGTGCCCCAACCATCAAGCCCCATACAATTAAAATCTGATAGACAACTATGTGATGGATGATAGTCTAATTATACTTAAATCCCTAGGATATGTCCTTAAATGGTGGTTGGGGTTGGAAGATTAGTACCAATGTGAGTTATGACTATTGAATTATTCTGACAATGACTAAAAATGAGCTAAGCACAGTTTTCAATTCCATTTTCAGTTTTTGAATGTGGTGCTCCTTCTAGAAATTGAGAAAAAACTTTTCAATTTAACACCCATGTGTAAGATTTTTTTCATGTTGCTGCATGTATTTGTTATAACATTACATGAAATACAACTTAAATGAATTGTGCTATGATGTTACTTATTTTTTACTCATTTCAAAAATGAAAATCATAATGTATTCACGAGATTCCGAAATTATTGTCTTTTAGATGACGCATCGAACTACACTGCATACTCTCGAGTTAGTGGAAATTCCGAAATACATAATTTATACTCACACGCGCTTGCATAAAGAGCAACAAATGACAGCTTTGTACAAGTACTTCTGATATAACACATTCAGACATGATGTACAAAAATCGAGGATCATCCATGTGCGCCTGCGTACCGGGTTTATACAACATTAATTGCAACCATAAACAATTACATGGACGAGCTTGGCAAGCAAAAGTGTAACTGAATTTGGACCTGTTTATACTAAAATCATCGCAACCAATAACATAAAATTTGTTCATACAACGTTCACCCCTTTCAAGCACCGTACGTGAACTCCAAGTTGCGATGCAGTGACCGTGGATGGGGTTGAGGCATCTTCATGCACTGTCATCTGCACTTCAATAACCAAAAATGATATAATGAGATCAAAGTTATCATGGAAGTTAATTTGGTAAACGCAAATATACAGCATGTTCGACAAGAATAGTCAACTAAACAAATAACGACACGACGGTACTCTTACATACATAAAGAAGTGCCACAATAATATCTTTGCATTGCATGTGATCCAAACATTATGGAGAATGAATCATGATTGACGATTTACGGTATGACAGATATTGAAGTGAACATGAGCAACTCCAACAATAATATCTTTGAATTGCATGTGATCCGAACATTACGGTTGGTTTGGTAAAAAATCAACCCAACCCAACCCATTTGTGTGTTTCAACCCAACCCAATCAAGCTTCGATCGGGTTGGTAGGGTTTGACTTTGCGAAAAAAAAAGAAAAAACCTCAGCAAACTAGAAATTACTCCACAAGACTGCAATGCTGAAGTATAATAAAATCCATAATCCAATGCAAAGAGTGGAAGCTAAAATTTAAAATTATAACCTTTGTTATTCAAAATTGGAGTGCTAAAATTGGCAAGCCTCATGAAACATATAGATACATTCCCAGTATAAATATTACAGCTAATAAATATTACCAGTATATTGAACTCCCACGGCCCACCAAGAAACTGAGATGTGAGGTTGTTCATTTCTCCTAAAAACTCAGGAATTGCACCCAAAAATTGATTATTTCCGAGATCAAGAACTCATAATAACCCACATTAACCCACAAAACTAATCTCATTCGGTCATCCAACCCAATTCACAAGCAATCAGTAGCACAACATCCAATCCAGTGAATTTCATATACAAATACAAATACTTAGAAAATTCTCTTCCAAGAACCATACAATTGTCTTCCAAGAACCATGCAATTGAAATGGAACTATTCGACATGCTCGTTTGGAATAACAGAAACGTACGACTACGCAAAGACGAAGTCCACACAAACTTCAAATCATGTAAATGTTTCGCCAACAATACCTTATTTCTTCACTCTCTTTGCCCTCCCCCTGGTGTACGGAGTCTTTGTAGATACAGCAGGACGTCGGACGAGTGTCGATCATCGCCTCTTTGTGATGGGTGGGTCATTGCATTGCACGGGTATGCTGGCCTCCCCCAGCATGTTTGTCGCACCGCCTACAAAACAATTTCACTTTAATTAGCACTTCATCCATTTGAATCACGAATTTGGGTTAGGGTGACATGATGAGTTCTTCACCGCAATGTACTTACTATCCACCTCCGCTACGCCACTAGCGGACGCAATAGGTTTGTCCGAGCGGTTCCCCGAACCATCGGAAGGCACTTCATCATCGTGACTGTTTTTTCCTGGTTCAGAATCCATGCCGCGTCCACCTAGTATGAAATTAACATGCGATGAAATATTAGTAACACTGTATACTTAAAACAGTCGAGAATACATACTAGTGCATGAGGTCATACGTAAGTAAATGATCCAAATATTACGCATTACTCTAAGCAGTGAAATAGAAGTAATCCACCGTAGTGTACGTACCATCCGCCTCCGCTACACCAGTAGGGGACGCAACACCATCGTCCTCACGTTTCCCCGAACCACCAGAAGCTACTTCGTCGTCATCACCGTTCAGTGCTGGTTCGAATTCCATGCCGTCTCCACCTACGCATGAGTACCAACATACCCAATATTAGAAACCGCATGTCGTTCAGGGTTTACAGTAGACACACTTTCGAATGAGGTGAGGCCTAAGTACGAAATCAAATATTATGCGTTACTTAAGACACGTACCGTTCCGCTCTTACATTTCCTTGTCCATATCTTCCTCATGATCGATCGGCAATGGGGAGAAGCCTCTTCCATGCACTACAAAAACAACAATTACAAAAACGTAAGGGGGTTACGTATTTGCTAGTATCAAATAGTAAAGAAGACATGAAAATGTATCCATAGTAATTGATGCACATACCTTGCGATTCCGCACATTCCGAGATAGGGTCGGTCTCGCCTCCATTTCCGTTTAAGTCACAAATCCCATGTGTACTCAATGTCAGCAAACATAAGTAACATATAGTAGATAAAAATTTAAATGCAGTACACATACCATGCACTGAAGTAGCTAAAATGGTGGGCTCGTTTGCCGCCTGAGCCGTAGGTGGAGTAATTCTAGAGGGAGCTGGGGGAGACGAGGGTAGAAATGAAGTCCCTGACCTTCACAAATTCATTGGTCACGTGCTGCATGATCTCAAGCTTCACTGTGCCATTGCACGGGTATGCTGGCCTCCCCCAGCATGTTTGTCGCACCGCCTACAAAACAATTTCACTTTAATTAGCACTTCATCCATTTGAATCACGAATTTGGGTTAGGGTGACATGATGAGTTCTTCACCGCAATGTACTTACTATCCACCTCCGCTACGCCACTAGCGGACGCAATAGGTTTGTCCGAGCGGTTCCCCGAACCATCGGAAGGCACTTCATCATCGTGACTGTTTTTTCCTGGTTCAGAATCCATGCCGCGTCCACCTAGTATGAAATTAACATGCGATGAAATATTAGTAACACTGTATACTTAAAACAGTCGAGAATACATACTAGTGCATGAGGTCATACGTAAGTAAATGATCCAAATATTACGCATTACTCTAAGCAGTGAAATAGAAGTAATCCACCGTAGTGTACGTACCATCCGCCTCCGCTACACCAGTAGGGGACGCAACACCATCGTCCTCACGTTTCCCCGAACCACCAGAAGCTACTTCGTCGTCATCACCGTTCAGTGCTGGTTCGAATTCCATGTCGGCTCCACCTACGCATGAGTACCAACATACCCAATATTAGAAACTGCATGTCGTTCAGGGTTTACAGTAGACACACTTTCGAATGAGGTGAGACCTAAGTACGAAATCAAATATTATGCGTTACTTAAGACACGTACCGTTCCGCTCTTACATTTCCTTGTCCATATCTTCCTCATGA